GGCATTGAGAGTTTTTAAGTAACAGGCAACAAAACAGGTATTCTTAGTTGTCAGCTGGTTAAATATCCAAATGGGTGTTGTAGTTAAAAGCCTGGAATTGTTTCCTGAAGACCAAACTTCGAAGGCTTGGGGTGAGGGGGTGTTGTCCTGGTCGCTTTGCCTTCGTTTGTTCCCATCTGACCCAACCTGAGCACTTGTCAGAGATGCAGTCCCGGGTGACCCAATGCCCACGGAGATGGCAGCAGAACATACTTGCCATAGTCTGGTGGTTAGTGCCCCTGGAACCTCGCCCTGCCCTCTGCATGTCTGCCTCTTCACCCACGGTACCCCCAAGGTCTGGATGCTGGAGACAGAGCCTACTTGGAGAAACCACTTCCTGTGAACGTCCCCCTGTCTGCCTCATGTGTTAGCACATCTCTCATCTCATTTATTAAGGCAGGACAGTGGCATAACCATTTTTGGGGGTGAAACGACCATGTTCATATCTGTGAGATGCCACACAGCACATGCTACATGCCATCCCACATAGTCCCCACACCTATCCTTTCTAAGACATTTTATTCAGACACTTTATACAGAACTCAGGGAACCGAGGCTCAGGGAAGTTTAGAAGCTTGTCCAAGGTCACACAGCTGGAAAGGGGGAGATTTGAATATACATTGGGGCAACTCCAAAGCCCATTCTGTTAACCAGTCTTTCACTCCAGTTAAGCCCCAGGCCAGGCCCCTGAAGCCCACCTCTAGGATGGCAAAATCTCAATTGTGATGGATCAGTGTTCTGTGTCTGCCTGAGGCCCGCTTCAGCACAACTGGTGGCAGTGATAGGTCTGCCCTGCCATGTGTGTGACATCGAGATTCATTTCGAGCCTGTTGCAGCTGAAATGATATGTGTAGATGAGCTCTCAATCGCTGCAGTAATTATTTACCACAGATTTAGTGGCTTAAAACAGCACAAATTCGTTATCTTATAGTTGTTGATGTCAGAACTCCAAAGTAAGTCTTAAGAGGCTACCATCAAGATGTTGGCTGGGCTGGCTTCTTCTGGAATCTGGGGAGAATCCATTCTTTGACGTTTTCAGTATCTCCAGGCACGTCTTCCAGCATTCCTTGGCTGATTAAAACCATCTTTAAAACCAGTAGCATAATATCCTTCAGTCAGTGTCTGTCTCTCTGCTTCCACGGTCCCATCTCCTCCTGTGACTCTGACCTTCCTGTCTCCCTCGTATAAGGACCTGTGATCACAGCTGCAAAACCCTACGTGAGGTGATAGTCCCAGGTCCTGGGGATCATGGTGTGGACTTGTTTGGGGGGTGGGGGAGTGCCGTTCCATCTATCATAAAGTGTAAAGGAAACGGTAGCTCTCTGTGGGCTAGCCTGGGCATACATACCATTTCCCTGGTGGTTTCTGGGAACTTTGGAGCAGCTGAAGCATTATTTGGATGTAAGCCAAGGTCAGCCTGGGGGAGCATCTGTCTGTCTCGTCCTACAATGGTGACCCTTGCTTCTGAGCTCTGTGACCAGGCTTGGATGACCACAGGGGTCTTTGGGTCTGTGATTTTTTTCTGTGGGATTAGAGTGACCACCCCGCATCTGTGTCAGAAGACATGCCATGCCAGTCAAACCGTGGGGACCGCTTACTGTGCTCTGCTCAGGCGGGAATGCACGCAGGCTGCCGTGTCAGGAACACAGCGGGGCAGCGGCTAGCCTGAGGTGGGAATCTGGGATGGGGCAGGGACAATGACCAGGGTGATGAGACAGGGAACAGAGAAGTGCTCGGGAACAGAAGCTCAGCAGCAGCGCAGGCCCAGAAGGTTGGAGGTGGTGAGGGAGTGACTGAGGAGGTAGGCAGGCGCTGGGGCAGGAATGGTCTAGGAACTAGGACTGGGAGGCTGTGGTAGGCTTGGGGCAGGGGATTGAGGGCAGATTTGCAAATTAGGGTGGCCAGAGCTCCTTGAGGTAAGCACCCAGGTCTGGCTCCTGGCTGAGTGTCCAGCCCTGGGGGTCCTGGGTCAGGGTGGAGTGCTCGGTGGGAAGGGAAGGGTGCCACATGCAAAAGCCTTGCTGTCCTTTGAGACCAGCTCAGGGTCCCCCTCTAAACAGATCTGAGCATGTCAGGGGCCGTATTTGGAGGGACTTAGGTTTCTTGTATGTGGGATACAGCACATCTCACTGTCTTGGGCTCCTTTCCACAGTGCATTGCTCATTGCAAGTGCCCAATAAATACTTGTTAAAAACATGTTTTAGTAGAAACGTGGGGAGAACAAGAAAAATGGAAAGCTGCCAGAGTTCTACAAGGAAGGCGGTTGGTTAGCAGAGCCCTGGCACCTCAGAGCAGGTATTAAATGGACTGCATTTCCTTTTTGAAAAGTTCTTGCATACATAGCGTCATGTGGTCCTCCTCTGATGTGAGCAGGTCAGAAAGTATGGATCTGCAGGGTGGTGGAGTAATGAACTTAACACCCTTATAGTTGCATGAATCACACGGCTTATTCTGCAATTCGCTTTCACACAACACTCAAAGGGGGGCTTAAGCGTATCTAAGAATCACACATATCACGGACCAATGCATCTCATACCAGTCATGACGGATGGTTTGGGTCCGGGCTGTCCCAGTCAGCCTCTCATCTGTCCCAAGGGAAAGCCGTGCAGCGGAGACAGTTCCAGTGGAGTGGTGTGTCCGTGGTGGGGCAGGAGCTGGCCTCGGAGCACACGCCTGTGGTCCTGTGTCAGGGACCTCGGGGACGAGCTTGCCCCAGGGGCTCTGTGTCAGACAGTCCAGTCCATCCACTCGGGGGTCGGAGATAAGAGGGACAGTGCACATGTGGTGTTATCCAGCTCAGGCATCCACCAGCATGCCTGGCATATGGAGTTACCTGGTTTGGGCATTCACTGGCACGCCTTTTCGTGTGGGGTATGTTTACAGAGGAGGTCAGCACGAAAGGAAGTGAGTCTGACATAAGCAACTCCGTATTGGAGACTTGGCAGAAGCGACTCCATGAAGGATGCGCACATCGTCCTCAAAGCCCCTTCCAGAGGAAAGTTGGGCAAGTTGTCTTTTTAAGAAAACAACTGAGGAGGCTTAGACCAGTGGAGTGCAGGGGTGCACCCTCCGGCACCAACTGGAGGAGGAAAAGGGGGCATTTTCCTGTCCCGTCTGGCTCAGTTTCCCTTCCCGCCTTTAGATTCTGGAACGTGCTGTCCTTACCCTTGACTCCTCCTCAGGTGCTGCCCGCGGCTGTGCGTCTGCTGCATGCTTCCCTGTGGCCCATCCCCTCCTGTGCTGGCTGCACCGAGCATCCTGGCAGGGCCGGGGGTGACTGGAGATCTGTCTGTAGTCCTTGTGTGTGATCCACATGCCCAGTTACTCCTCTTGGCAGGAACAAGCTGCTCAGCTCCCGAGGGCAAGGACAGTGGCTATTTGCTACCACCGTACCCGGCACGTTGTCTGGCTCATTCTAGGTGGTGGGTGGGTTTCTATGCTGGGCTGTGGTTGGGCATCCTGGGCACTGGGGAAGGTCGTGGCGTTGCGCTGCCTCCTTCCCACTGTGTTTCTTGGTCTTGGCCATCTGGAGGTCAGGCCAGCTGTGGCCCCTGAGAAGTTGTAGAGGCATCTAAGATTTTGGTAAGGCAGCATCACTATCAAAAGTGTCCCAGTTCAGGTGAGGAGCCCTGGAATCTTGTGTATGTGGGGAAGGAGGAAAGGGGAATCGGGAAGAAAGAGGGTCCCCAGTAGATCGTGGGCTGGCACACCGTGTTGGTTTAGATTTTCTGTTACTGCTTATTCTTCACCGCAGTTAGAATTGTGTGTGTGTGTGTGTGTGTGTGTGTGTGTGTGTGTGTGTGCGCGCGCGCACGCACCCTGTTCTACATGGCTGTGTCTTTCCAAAGTCCCTGTTTATCTGAGCTCAGGGTTACAGTTTCAGGTTAAGAAGCGTGAACATGCCTGTAGCATATGGCTGGGATGGGGTTGTGCCTGAGGCCCTGCACTCCATCACATGTGTTCTGCACACCCTGTCTCAGTGTGACAATTGCCCGTTAAACCCCGGGCTGCCGGCGTATGGCTTTCTCCAAACCTCCCCCCTTGGTGAATGGAAACTTTAGCCGTGTGGTCGGAATATTTTCCCATCATGTAGCATTTTGGAGTTAGCATGTTTGGGGAGCTCTGCAGTCCCAGCTGAATGGTACGTTTGCAGATTATCGCAGAAACAGTTAAAGCAGGTCTGTCGAGCCGTAGCTGCTCTTTCCCGGGATGGATAAGTGGTGGGTTTGGGGAAGGCGGGGCCCCTGGGAGGATTCCGGTGCTCCCCCTGCGGCCACTATAATTAAAGTGGGAAGTCTGGCGGAGTTGTTATCCCTGCTATTAAGAGTGCAGATGGCTAACAGCCACATCACCAAGACTGCGAGTTAGACCTTTTAAAGTGTTTTTTCTTTCTCTTTTATGACCCACCCTATGTATTCCCAGCATAGGTATGAATGCAATGAAGAATTTTCTCATTAAAAGTAACGGCTTATTCCCACAGTCATTCCCGGTCTTGGAATGAGAAACCTGTCTCCTTGGACTTGAGGAATTGCCTATCTGTCGTGGCTTAATAGAGCTTTTGGCGAGTGTCTGGTAGGGGAGTTTTATAGCCAATCAGTGCACAAAGCGGGTCCAGCTGGACGGGCCCCAGCCGGCAGCTCGTGGTCCCTCTCCCAACTCTACTGTTAGTGGATTATTCTTTAACCCCCAAACACAGAACAGCCCACTCCTATTGTTTTAGGGGAAGTGAGTGCTCATGGCCCCTGTGGCCTGGCAGCTGGGAATCTCCTGGGCTGGAGGGAATTTGGCGGGCAGTGGCGGGAGGTTGGGGGCACGGCAGGGGGAAGAAAGTGTGGTGGGTGTTTCTCGGCGATTGGCATGACCCTGGGTCTCCGCAGTCGTGTGTGCGTTTGACTCGGGGGTCTCTGCGCTGGAAAAGCACCCGGCTTCCCTCCTCACCCTGTTCTCTTGTCTTCCTGCAGGGAGTGGGGCCGGCCAGCAGAAGCAGCGGGCTGCCCAACATCACCTTCAGATACGACAGTAAGTGGCTGGGCTGCCGGGGAAGGGAGCCCTTTCGGGGATCTGAAGCAAGCATAGTTGTGCTTAACTGAGGACCCCGCACGACCTGGGCTTGAGAAATGTTTGAACCTGCCCATGTTTGTCAGCAGAGCTACGGCGGCTCAGTTTCAGTTAAGGCACCCAAGTCTGCGGGGGCTCAGGCAGGCCAAGGATCCTCCACGGCGTTCAGAGAAGTTGTGTATGGAGACCTCGCCTGATTTCTTCAGAGCAGGGCCACATCCTGAAGAGCAAACACAGATGCCTGTAGGGCCCAGCAGGAGACACATGGGTGCAGGATGCTAGGGAGTGGGAGGGAGTGTGGCAGGCTGCCAAGCCCCGGTCTGGTCTGAAGGGAGTGCGCTGGCTTTTGCATCTCAGCTGGTTGTGGCCTTAGGAACTCCCCCTGAGCACAGCCAGATGTAGTTCCAAGGACAGGGGGAAACTTGCCTTTTTTTTTTTTGGGTATGAACATTTTTTAAAAATTGACATTTGAAGTTCTTGCATAGAGTGGGCTAAGTGCCTCTGTTCCGGGTTGGCCCAGGGGTCTCCAGTCAACCATGTCGGAGCTCCAACCCTGGTTCCCCACCTATCAGCCATGAACTGTGGAACCAAGCCTCGGTTTTCTCATCTTTTAAAATAAAGATCAGCGTCTGCCTCAGCATCATTTTGAGGCTTATACGAGTGACTGCTTTTAACTGCTCACCTCAGTAGCTGCTCTGTGTTTTGTGTACTCAGTTAACGACTCTTAATGATGTAATTCCAACCTGCATTGGTGCACGAGACCTTCTGGCCCTTTCTCTCAAAGAAGTGTGACTTTCTGTCTGAACAGTCCTTAGGGCAGGGTTTCATTTTTTTACCCTGCTTAAACATACAGGACCCCCGCCAAGAAGGTGATTATATAGAATTGTGAGTATTTTAGCCTTAGGAGCCATAATTTATCAGTAAAAATGTTGACAAGAGGGAGCTTGACTCCTATTTAGTGACTCCTGTTGTTTGATTCATCTCCTGGAGAGGGTTATGAATCCACGTAAGTAGGGGGTATAGGTCATATCAAGGACTCTGAAATGATTGGGAAAGCAGGGTCTGGGGGGTCGTGTATGCAGTCTTAACAATTTTAAGATACAAGTATGTGTGTCAAAGTCCCACCCACAGTTGCTGATGTGGGTATTTTAATGGATGAGGACTTACATATGAAAATCAGGCATTTCATGTTAGCGGTGTGTGCATGCTCTGGGTAAATACTGTAATGCTAATGAAAGATTTGTAAGCCCAAAATACTTAACTTAGCTAAGCAAAGACATGTGCACGGGAACTTCCTTTGAGTCAGAAAGGTAATTTCTAATACATGCTCTTGGTCCTGGAAGATCTTGTATTACACTCAAGAGTTCAGACTTTTCCGGTCAGCTGGAAACCAGTATTTGCATCTCTAATTTACATGTGGTTTTGTGGAGGAGGACCTCTACCTGTAAAATTTAAATGTAGCTTACTGTTTTCTTCATGGGACTAAATATTTGCCCACGTGCAAATGCCTGTCTCTGTGTCATTATTTTCTCTCTTAGTCTTCAGCGTTTAATTCAAATTGAATTCACAACTCAAATAGACTCCTGAGACATCTGAAGCTTGGTTGCCTTTGGCAAAATGTCATTGGGGCATATATATTTTTTTTCTTGTATAACCAAAGCATTAACATTGCTAATAATTGGATCCACGTTGTGTAAAAAATTTATTCATTGTTTTCCACTGAAAAGATATTTCTGTCTTCCACAAGGAAGTTGCTGTTACTGACGGGTTACTAGTTTTGTTAGAAATAGCTGAGAACCAATTACCAGGTTTTCACCAAAAGCATTAAACTCCAGAATCTTATTTTTCATTTCCTTTGCCGTTTAGTCGAAACAGGAATTCTCAGATCTCTGTCTCCATACTCTGGCTTTCTCCTTTCTTCTACAGGCGCTCAGGGGGTAATGCCTGAGTAGTTTGTAATATGTTTTCTTAATTCTTAGGCTTGATATTTGCATAATTGTATTTACAGAAACCTGGAGAGTGCTGATTTAGGTTTTAGGAATGAAAAAAAGAAAAACATGCCTTGCTTTTTTTTAATGCATCTTCTGCTGAAGCTGTTTGAGTCAAAGGGTTCTCTTTCATTGGAGACCCCAATAAATGAAAATGTTTGAACGTGACAAGTATGATGGGATCTTGTCCTTTTCTTTTATGTCAGGAAGCTGGTCTCAGTTAGGATTTTAGCTTATGACGAAAATAAGTTCTGTGCTGAGGACAGGGTTTGCAAGAACCTGGCATGCAGCACTTCAGGCTGCTTTCTGTCCTGCCCCTGGACTGGCCAGAGGTGCAAATCTAAGCCCCCCAGATATCTTAGCTGCGGTTCTCATTTGTACGATGTGGGTGTTACAACAGATGTTTCAAACATTTTTTTTCCTATTCTAAAATTCTTTTCTGCACCCAGAGAACACATGTTGAATGCTTGGAGGGTGAGTTTTCATGAAAAGCAGAACTTGGTTTTATTAATTACTAACATCTTTTCAAAAGACAGTATGTTGAAATGTAGAGGTGGTTTTAAGCAGATGGAAGGGTGTGCACCTAAAGTGATTCGGCTCTTAAGAAAACAGGACACAAAGCAGTCTGGAGGGCGGAGGCTTTGAGATGGGGAGGCATCCCTTTTAGTGCCTGTGTGTGTGTAGTATTTTAGTAAGAAATTTTAAAAGGAGGAATATTATATGCACATTTAATAGCAGTTACCTCTGTGTGGTGGGAGGTTGTGGATTATTTTTATATTTTTCTTCTATTCTTTTGTGATATCAAATATCCATTGAACATCTTGAGCCCTGAAAATGGGAAATATAGTTTCCAGCTGGGGAGAGCAGACTCACTGAACTTTCTCAAAAAATTCCCCTGAATGCTTCACCATGAAGAAAAACACCCTGACTTCAGAGGGTAATGGGCAGGCCTGGACATTAGAACTGAAGGCTTTCAGTAGCAGATACTAAAGAAGATTTTCAGGCTTAACCATTAAGAAAGAAATGGAGATGAGGCAGCGTAAGAAATGAGAGTCGATGTCTGCAGGGATGAGTGGCGGTTCTCCCCGCAAAGGGGCTAGAATGGCAGGAGGCTGTTCTCTGAAGGCCTAGCCCCAGTGACTGGAAGCTTCTTAGGATCTTGCAGACTTGATGGTATGTTTGGCAATACCAGGTGTCTCAGCTGCCTGCATGGTCATGACTGCATGTAAGTGACATCCTCTAGCAAAATCAAAGAATTGATGGTCTTCATTTTTTGGGCAATGTGGGGCTCTTTGGATTTGGTGGGTGTTGGGGCGTCTTTGATGACATGTGGTATGTGTGTGGGACCAAAAGTTTTACACTGAGGTGCTGGTTAGCATTGAAGGTTAGCTTTCACTAAGTCAGTTGGTATCTTTTGCAGGTGTTGATTGGATTGTCTCACAGTCTTGCTGTGAATCACACCCCCATTGAGTCACATCCTCTATTCCTTCCTTTCCGCAGTCCCCCTGCCCTCCCGATTTCTTCTAAAAACAAACCAAACCACCCCAGGTTATGTAACCATTGTTTTGTTTCAGATCACTGTCTGACAGTGAAACCTGATTAAATCCATGTAAATACTTATGAATACAGAAAAAGTGTCATATTAGTAAAAGTTAATGCCAGACACAGACCCAGACTCCAGACTATAGATGGTCCTGCTGATGCTGTCCTGGAATTTAACTCAAGGGGCGGGGGGCGGTGCTGGTTCTACACAGGAATTCCACTGTAGCATCTTACAGTCTTCCAAACAGTCAACCTTTGAGGTCGTATGTGAGCTCCTGTGGCACATGCCTTTACACAGAATGGATTTGGCCACCTCCAGACATGTTCTGTGTAATCTGAGAAGATGAACCTAAAAATGAAAAATACAATTTTACATTTAACTGTTCTCACGCTCCCAACTCTCTAGACTGCACTACCTTCGTGAACCCGGTGGGGAAACACGTGATCGCCGATGCCCAGAACATCAGCGTCCGTCAGTACGCGTGCCGTGACCAAGTGGCCGCCACCGTCCTCTGGTCTCCGGGGGCCCTTGGTAAGTAGTTGAACTGGAACCCACCCTGGTGTCCTGGATGGGTAGTAGTCCCCACTGCCAGAGTCCCAAGTGTGCCAACCTCAAGGGGCCAGATGGGACTTGCCCTGAATGTGTCTTAGGTGTGCTTGGGCACAGACACACTTTGCAGAGACCAAACATTCTCTGCAGGCTTGGTTGCACACGGTCGCTGGGCGTGGACATGGCTTCGTGCCGTGCCCCATGTATTGAGAAAGATATGGCTTTGAAAAATAACAGTGTGATGAAAGAGGCCTTGGCCTCTGTGCCTCTGCAGCAGAGGAGGGTCATGTGGCCCGTGCAAGCCCACTGTGGCTTTGGCATCCAAGCATTAGCAGTCTCTGTGGCCACATGGATATGCAGGCCCTGTCCTGGCATATTTTGTGAGTTTTCAGGAACATTCCCGTTCTTATGAGAAGCCATGAGTCAACAATTTTTAAATGCTGGCAACTGATTGCATTTTTATTGAAAACTATGTAGATTGAAAAAAAATCAAACCAAAACAAAGAAACAGAGAAAACCACATTATCTGGCCAGATTCAGGTTAGGACTGAGTCTGCTAAACTGATAATGCACAGGAGAGGTTGGGACGGTTGGGTGTGGGACTTGGGTGGGCCCATTTGCTCAGATGGGCCTGGGTTTGAACCCAGAACCAGCTTGCACAAGAGGCATTTAAACCTGGCTGAGCTGCAGCTTCTCCAGCTGTCAACTGCAGATGGCTGCCTCCTCGGCTTGTTGTAAGAATTAGAGACACACGCAGAGCGCATTTCTAGAGAGAGCTCTTAACAAATAGTGGCTACTGTTAACCGTCATGAGGACCTGGCCCTCAGGCCTGCTCCTTTGACATTGCTGCCCAATCTTAGAATTATTTAAAAATCTGGACAAGAGAAAAGTAAAATAAAGTCTCAGTTATTCATGTTGGATGGGATAAATCTCAGAAGAACCAGACTGCAGGGGAGGTAAGTGCAGAGACAGAGAGGGTGGGTCATACTCGTGGGCCTCATGTTCTCATCCTTGCAAACACTGCTGCGTCTGAACCCATGGGTCTTCCAAAAATAACATCATCTTAACATTTAAAGATGAAAACATTCTCTGCAGGTAAAAGGGAAGTGGTCATCCCACATAAGCCTGAATGGTTAGAGGGTTGGCCTGCTAAATTGCAGCCTCCCTCTTCAGAATGAAAGTGAGAGAGGTGAGCTGGCGGTAGGAAAACTGCCGCGTGCCGCACGATCTGTGGGTGGACGTGGCCGGGTAGGTCCTGTCTGTTTCTGTGAGGTTCTAGCAAGGAAACTCCCTGGGAGACAGACAAGCCTGCGGATGAGGAGCACCAGCCTAGAGCCGGACACTCCTGGGTTTGAAGCCCACAGCTGCCACCCCATCCCTGTGTGAGCCCTGGCAGATCGTTCAGGGTCCCTACACCTGCTTCCTCATCTATGAAACGGGACACCACCTGCCTCCCGTGGATGTTAGGAGGTCATTGAGTCAAATGATGGGAAGGAGCAAAGTGGCTCCTTTTGGGGTGCTAAACATAAAACTACCAGGGGTTAATAGTATAGTGAAGGGGTCCCTCTGATGGAAGGTTTATTTTTATTGCCTCTGTGCCCACCCCCAGACTTGGCATAGTGGTTTTTCACGCTGGTCTTTTAAAAATAAAAATAAAGATGAGAACCACCCTCCCCTACCCCAACTGATGAACTTTTTAAATTTACTCATTTATTTAAAAAATGTTTAAATTGAAATATAGTTGATGTACAATATTAGTTTCAGGTGTATAACAAGTGATTTGACAATTACGTACATTATAAAATGCTCACCATGATAAACATAGTTACCATACAAAATTATTATGATATTATTAACTATCTTCCCTATGCTGTGTCTAGTGTGTTTTTAGACTTAAAGTACCATACTGTGTATAGCATCCTGTACTTTCTTTTTCACTTAATATTTTTATATCTCCTTAATTTATTTAATTTCCATATAGTATTCTGTTGTGTATATATACTTCTATTTATCCAGACTCCTATTAGTGCCATTTGGATGGTTCCCAATTTCTCTCTCTCTCTCTTTTTTTTAATTAAAGTATCATTGATACACAATGGTATAAAGGTTTCACATGAGCAACATTGTAGTTATTACATTCACCCATATTATCAAGTCACCCCCACCCCCCACCCCATTGCAGTCACCATACATCAACCAGCTGATGAATTTTTATGTGATTGTGAGTTGCACGGTCTTTAATCATATTTATTAATTACCTGGCTTTTTTAAAACAGGAGCTCTGGGAATATTAACGTGAATTCAATCTTAGTATAAATAATAAGGATTTGTTCAAAGAAAAAAATTTTTTTTTTAATCTTAGAAGGCAGGTTCCTGTGAGGTCTGCTAAATAGTTGCTGATCAAAGACTTCGGATCTTGTCAGCATGTCCGAATCTTGGGCTGTGTTGGTCAGCTGGCCCTGTGACCCCCACAGGGAGCTTTGTGCTTGAAATACAACATGGCAGGAGCCAGTACCTGCCCTACACTCTGACCCCCTGAAACATGAAGCTCTGATTTAACCTCTCTGCCCTACCCCCATCAAATATGTTCTTCATCAAATAATTACAGGACTGGAGAACCTATTCAAAAGAGGAAAAGATTTCCCTGGCCTTTGCCATCAATAATTTTCCCACCTGCTTAATTGCATCCTGCGTAATTACTTTTGCCCTGGGAGGGGAAGGGTCGACCACGTCTCCCTGTCTGGTGTTCAGAAAGAATGCGAAATCGATATCGTGCCAGTTGAGGCCGGCTTCGGGGACCTCCAGCTGCAGTCGGACCCCTCCAGTCTCCATGGGATACAGAGCCGCGGCACTGGCTCTTGTGGCCATCAGAGCTTAATCCCTTTGAAAGCATCTAGTCGGACGTGCAGCGGGGGAAGCTCAGGTGGCGGGAGGCTGGGTCCTGCAGGCGTCCAGGGCCTCTGTGCGCTGTATGAGGAGCACACAGGGCAGCTCCTGGGTGCTTGCTTCTCAGGCGTGATTGGAGCAGGGAGCGCTTTGTAAACCTCACGGGCATTCTCCTAAACTGTTTAATCTCAAGCCTAAGAACCCCTTGGGTGCAGACACACACTTTGTTGGGAATTTTGTCTATCACTCAGTGCAACAAGCCCAGAAATACAGGACGAAAACTTACAGGGAAAACATGGTTTGGGGGGAATCTGTTATCAGCATTGGGAATTACCATAAGCTGAATACACCCAGTTTAATGACCTAGAAATTATATATCCCACTGCAGACTTTTATGATCAACTGGGACTTGCATCTGTAATTATTTGAGCCCTAATGTCTCAGAGATAATGGACGTTTGTGAAATGGCTGGTGGGATTAGAGATTCATTATTTGTAATTGTGGGGCGGAGAAAATCACCTTGCCTGTACCTGAGGCATGCAGGGTATGCGTTTTTCCTTTCTGTAAACTCAGATATTCTGGCCAGAGTAAGAATTCCTGGACAGGATGGTAATCTTGGAGGAAGGAAAGTGTTCAAAGGTAATTAGGTCCGCTTTTAATAAGAGCATTCTGCTTCGCTTAGGCATCGAATTCCTGAAAGGATTTCGCGTAATACTGGAGGAGCTGAAGTCGGAGGGAAGACAGTGCCAACAGCTAATCCTAAAGGACCCGAAGCAGCTCAACAGTAGCTTCAAAAGGACTGTAAGTCACACGTGGGAATGTGCTCCTCAAGACCTGCCATTGTTCCCAGGGTCTGAATGGTCTATTGAAAGTCTGTGAAACTGGAGGAGGAGGGGCTGTGGGGTCCACCCCGTCTGCCAAGGTGGGCGAGAAGAGCTTGAGAGCCACGGAAGCCTGCTGCTCACCCCAGAGAACCTCTCCAGCACCTTGCGCTGGGAAACACGCCTCTTGGGTTTCACGTCCTACAAGGTGGCTCTGTGCCCCCAGGAGCAAGTGTGGCTTCCTCGCCACCAGCTCGGAGCTTCAGCGTCCACACACGTGGGTTCCCTGCCGAAGAATAGTCAGCGTTATCCGTCTTCATCTTCAGTTAGGGATCCTGACCTGAGCTTGGTCCGGAGCCTGCCTCCCTCCTTCCCCGGGTCCCGTCCCCCAGCCGTGGCGCAGCGGCTGGGTGCCCATCAGGGAGAACTGACACCCTCGTGTGTAGGTGGAAGGGTGGGTCATTTCTCCATGAGGTCATGCGTGTTTATGTTCCCTTTTAGGGAATGGAATCTCAACCTTTCCTGAATATGAAATTTGAAACGGATTATTTTGTGAAGATTGTCCCTTTTCCTTCCATTAAAAATGAAAGCAATTACCACCCTTTCTTCTTCAGAACACGTGGTGAGTAGGTCTTTCTTGGTTGGTTCCTACGAGGACACTTCTCTGGCTTTTAAAGACTTTTTAACAGAGTGATGTGTTCCAGAGCACACCAAATACTGGTAGGAAACCAGCATGGCAAGGATAAAAGCACCCAGAAAAATAACTTTTAGAATTACTATTTGGCCAGAGCAGTGTTCCTCTAACCAGAGACACCCATTCCTGGCTTATTCTAGAGTAGACATGACAGTTGTGTGTTTTTTTTTTTAAGTGCTATAAAACTGCCATGTAATTCAGACCATTTGATTAAAAAACAAAACAGAAGAACAGGAATAAAAAGCATAAGGATTCGGGGGTGAAGAGTAGAGGCTGAAGTGATTCTGTCTTTTACCTGTCATCAGGAGGCGGCCTCTGTGAGTAATTGCCTGTCGTTTTCAGAATTAGATTAAGAAAATTAGGCAGTAGCCCTGAGATCACCTCTTTTAAAAAGTTTGTTTACTGTCTATGTGCCAGGTCCTGTTCTAAATACTAACTCAGTTTACCCCTGTAACAACCCTACAAAGAATTTAGTCTTACCATTCTACCCTCCAGCGACTCCTTAGATAGGGAATCACACACACAGAGGCCATAGGGCCTGCTGGGAGCTGGGATTGAATCCCCAGAAGTCTGAGCCTGGGGTCTGTACTCTCAGACCAGCGCTGCTGGGCTCCCCTTCTGATCGGGCTCTCCCTTGCCACCTGTTCTATGCATGGTGTGGGGTGTCTCTGAGCACCCTCGATCACTGCTTTTGAATTCGGTGCCTAGGCAGCCTGAAGCCTGAAGCAGCTCCCCCGTGCCTTCCTGGTCACCCTTCCTGCCCGGCGTTCCTGGCTCAGATGGTCAGCCGCCCATCCAGTCCTGTCCTTCCCTCCCGTGTGGTTTGGTTGCTGGGCCCGGGCCCGTGATGTGTTTGTTCTCAACTCCAGCCTATGTTGGTGTTTCTCTTTGCAGAATTTTTATTCTTACTCCAGCGGTTTTCTTTTTGTCTGTCATTTAAGAAAAAAAAAAGTGTAGTTGTTTTCTCTGCAGCACAATTATTTTCTAACAATTGGTCTAATTTTCTTAATTAAAATAAGATTCTGTAGGGCAGAGACCACGTTCATTTTACAACATCCGCTGATGCCTTACACATAATTGGTTGGAGGATTCAAAGAATGTGTTTAAGGAAAGCCTGCCTAAATCCAAGCTAGCGTATTTTAAGATGGGTTTTTTACGCTGGAATCAAGGTGTCTGTTTGGGGATAAGACGGATGTAGGTGATGCGCTGACCGCCATTTCAGTGCACTGCGACCTTGATGCAGCCTTTGATTTCTTTGCCTTGTATGGACATTTTCCAGAGGTTTCTCTCTGGATTAGTAATATTGGAATAACTGACCTCTCTTACTGTGTTTTTATTGCATTTAAATCATGTTTCAGACCTACAGGCTTTTGTGCCTGGTTCCCAATGGTGGGACTGCTACTCAGTAGATGCCTGGCTGTCATTTAATTTAGGCTCCATCAAAAGGATTTTAAATAAGAATGCTGGTGAAGGTTAGAATAATGCCAAGATAGTTAGCAGGACCAGTCTGGAGTTCTGTTGGGCCTAAGCACCTCTGCAGAGGGCCAGGGGCTGACGTTATTGCGGTTCGACAGCTAAAACGGAGCCTCCGTGTGGCAGCAGTGTGAACACAGTCCCGCTGCCCTGGGCCACGAGCCTTGAAACTATGTAATGCCTGACAAGCTTTCAAAATCTGGGTGACTTTATACTGTTTCCATTCAGTTGGCATAAATGAACTGCATTCATATTTTTATATTGTACAGTTAAAATTTTCATGAGATACAACTGCACTGTACTGAGAATCATTGAATTTTGATGTATTTTATACTCTTCCCAGTGGCACCCAGCAGCACCATGTTTATGTTTCACTGAACTGCTGGAAATTCAAAGACAAGGTCATCTTGTCCTACCACTAAAAATGTGCGTCTTTCTTAACAGCCTGCGACCTGTTGTTACAGCCGGACAACCTGGCCTGTAAACCCTGTAAGTACCGCCATTCTTAACCTGTCAAGTCTCAAAAGTGTGGCCATCACGGCCACTGCAGTGGTTTTGGGGTGGCCTCTGGGCGTTCACTCCGGGTCCCCCCCTCCTCTCAGTCTGGAAGCCTCGGAACCTGAACGTCACCCAGCAGGGTTCGGACATGCAGGTGTCCTTTGACCACGCGCCACACACCTTCGGCTTCCGTCTCTTCTATGTTCATTACAAGCTCAAGCACGAAGGTCCCTTCAAGAGGAAGACCTGTAAGCAGGTGAGCTGCGAGGTGTATGCCTGGGAATACAAGGTATTTTAAATCAATCCCTGGGCTCCTGGAACTTAGATTGTTCCAGTGAATGTTAGGCTTCAGTGACTCCCAGCGGTTGGTAGATATTCCCGAGTGTTGTCCCCCGGTGTGTCTCAGGGCCATTTTGCTATCATCCCTTACTCCCGGAGGCTCTATTCCAGTGTTTCTAGTGTGTTCTGTGTTTTAGACATTGTCCAGGTGCTCACCATGTGCCAGTCTCTGTCTCTATGCTTATTGGATCCTTACAACTCTGAAACAAGCTGCTGTTACCCCCACTTTACAGTTGGGAAGCCTGAGGCTTAGGGAGATCACCTGGCTTGCTCCGGGTCACACAGCTAGAACGTGGGTGGAAAAGCCACATCTGGGAACCAAGCCACTAGCATTTCCGTGGCTACTTATTTGACATGGAGACAGGCAAGGCTGCATTAGAAAGGCAGTGACTGAGTTCTGGAGGTGGTCAGACAGAGCAGGGAGTAGTTCGTGGAACTCACAGGACTGCTGAATCGCCCCACTGAACACCCAGAGAGGTTTGTGGTCCCGGCCGCAGACCCCGCGCCCTCCAGACGTGTGCCTCCTGTCCCCCCAATGGGTGTGCTCTTCCACTTTCTTGCTGGCCCTCACCTCTGTCATTGTCCTTTGACCTCCTGCTTAGGTTAAAACTATGGCAAATAAAATATGCACAAACATGGAGGGGTAATTTCTCTTTCTGCCCTTTTATTAAGCAAAGGGTGTTCTAATTATTTTCTTTGTTGAAAGATCTAATATCGCTGAGGGCANAGCTAAGCAAAGACATGTGCACGGGAACTTCCTTTGAGTCAGAAAGGTAATTTCTAATACATGCTCTTGGTCCTGGAAGATCTTGTATTACACTCAAGAGTTCAGACTTTTCCGGTCAGCTGGAAACCAGTATTTGCATCTCTAATTTACATGTGGTTTTGTGGAGGAGGACCTCTACCTGTAAAATTTAAATGTAGCTTACTGTTTTCTTCATGGGACTAAATATTTGCCCACGTGCAAATGCCTGTCTCTGTGTCATTATTTTCTCTCTTAGTCTTCAGCGTTTAATTCAAATTGAATTCACAACTCAAATAGACTCCTGAGACATCTGAAGCTTGGTTGCCTTTGGCAAAATGTCATTGGGGCATATATATTTTTTTTCTTGTATAACCAAAGCATTAACATTGCTAATAATTGGATCCACGTTGTGTAAAAAATTTATTCATTGTTTTCCACTGAAAAGATATTTCTGTCTTCCACAAGGAAGTTGCTGTTACTGACGGGTTACTAGTTTTGTTAGAAATAGCTGAGAACCAATTACCAGGTTTTCACCAAAAGCATTAAACTCCAGAATCTTATTTTTCATTTCCTTTGCCGTTTAGTCGAAACAGGAATTCTCAGATCTCTGTCTCCATACTCTGGCTTTCTCCTTTCTTCTACAGGCGCTCAGGGGGTAATGCCTGAGTAGTTTGTAATATGTTTTCTTAATTCTTAGGCTTGATATTTGCATAATTGTATTTACAGAAACCTGGAGAGTGCTGATTTAGGTTTTAGGAATGAAAAAAAGAAAAACATGCCTTGCTTTTTTTTAATGCATCTTCTGCTGAAGCTGTTTGAGTCAAAGGGTTCTCTTTCATTGGAGACCCCAATAAATGAAAATGTTTGAACGTGACAAGTATGATGGGATCTTGTCCTTTTCTTTTATGTCAGGAAGCTGGTCTCAGTTAGGATTTTAGCTTATGACGAAAATAAGTTCTGTGCTGAGGACAGGGTTTGCAAGAACCTGGCATGCAGCACTTCAGGCTGCTTTCTGTCCTGCCCCTGGACTGGCCAGAGGTGCAAATCTAAGCCCCCCAGATATCTTAGCTGCGGTTCTCATTTGTACGATGTGGGTGTTACAACAGATGTTTCAAACATTTTTTTTCCTATTCTAAAATTCTTTTCTGCACCCAGAGAACACATGTTGAATGCTTGGAGGGTGAGTTTTCATGAAAAGCAGAACTTGGTTTTATTAATTACTAACATCTTTTCAAAAGACAGTATGTTGAAATGTAGAGGTGGTTTTAAGCAGATGGAAGGGTGTGCACCTAAAGTGATTCGGCTCTTAAGAAAACAGGACACAAAGCAGTCTGGAGGGCGGAGGCTTTGAGATGGGGAGGCATCCCTTTTAGTGCCTGTGTGTGTGTAGTATTTTAGTAAGAAATTTTAAAAGGAGGAATATTATATGCACATTTAATAGCAGTTACCTCTGTGTGGTGGGAGGTTGTGGATTATTTTTATATTTTTCTTCTATTCTTTTGTGATATCAAATATCCATTGAACATCTTGAGCCCTGAAAATGGGAAATATAGTTTCCAGCTGGGGAGAGCAGACTCACTGAACTTTCTCAAAAAATTCCCCTGAATGCTTCACCATGAAGAAAAACACCCTGACTTCAGAGGGTAATGGGCAGGCCTGGACATTAGAACTGAAGGCTTTCAGTAGCAGATACTAAAGAAGATTTTCAGGCTTAACCATTAAGAAAGAAATGGAGATGAGGCAGCGTAAGAAATGAGAGTCGATGTCTGCAGGGATGAGTGGCGGTTCTCCCCGCAAAGGGGCTAGAATGGCAGGAGGCTGTTCTCTGAAGGCCTAGCCCCAGTGACTGGAAGCTTCTTAGGATCTTGCAGACTTGATGGTATGTTTGGCAATACCAGGTGTCTCAGCTGCCTGCATGGTCATGACTGCATGTAAGTGACATCCTCTAGCAAAATCAAAGAATTGATGGTCTTCATTTTTTGGGCAATGTGGGGCTCTTTGGATTTGGTGGGTGTTGGGGCGTCTTTGATGACATGTGGTATGTGTGTGGGACCAAAAGTTTTACACTGAGGTGCTGGTTAGCATTGAAGGTTAGCTTTCACTAAGTCAGTTGGTATCTTTTGCAGGTGTTGATTGGATTGTCTCACAGTCTTGCTGTGAATCACACCCCCATTGAGTCACATCCTCTATTCCTTCCTTTCCGCAGTCCCCCTGCCCTCCCGATTTCTTCTAAAAACAAACCAAACCACCCCAGGTTATGTAACCATTGTTTTGTTTCAGATCACTGTCTGACAGTGAAACCTGATTAAATCCATGTAAATACTTATGAATACAGAAAAAGTGTCATATTAGTAAAAGTTAATGCCAGACACAGACCCAGACTCCAGACTATAGATGGTCCTGCTGATGCTGTCCTGGAATTTAACTCAAGGGGCGGGGGGCGGTGCTGGTTCTACACAGGAATTCCACTGTAGCATCTTACAGTCTTCCAAACAGTCAACCTTTGAGGTCGTATGTGAGCTCCTGTGGCACATGCCTTTACACAGAATGGATTTGGCCACCTCCAGACATGTTCTGTGTAATCTGAGAAGATGAACCTAAAAATGAAAAATACAATTTTACATTTAACTGTTCTCACGCTCCCAACTCTCTAGACTGCACTACCTTCGTGAACCCGGTGGGGAAACACGTGATCGCCGATGCCCAGAACATCAGCGTCCGTCAGTACGCGTGCCGTGACCAAGTGGCCGCCACCGTCCTCTGGTCTCCGGGGGCCCTTGGTAAGTAGTTGAACTGGAACCCACCCTGGTGTCCTGGATGGGTAGTAGTCCCCACTGCCAGAGTCCCAAGTGTGCCAACCTCAAGGGGCCAGATGGGACTTGCCCTGAATGTGTCTTAGGTGTGCTTGGGCACAGACACACTTTGCAGAGACCAAACATTCTCTGCAGGCTTGGTTGCACACGGTCGCTGGGCGTGGACATGGCTTCGTGCCGTGCCCCATGTATTGAGAAAGATATGGCTTTGAAAAATAACAGTGTGATGAAAGAGGCCTTGGCCTCTGTGCCTCTGCAGCAGAGGAGGGTCATGTGGCCCGTGCAAGCCCACTGTGGCTTTGGCATCCAAGCATTAGCAGTCTCTGTGGCCACATGGATATGCAGGCCCTGTCCTGGCATATTTTGTGAGTTTTCAGGAACATTCCCGTTCTTATGAGAAGCCATGAGTCAACAATTTTTAAATGCTGGCAACTGATTGCATTTTTATTGAAAACTATGTAGATTGAAAAAAAATCAAACCAAAACAAAGAAACAGAGAAAACCACATTATCTGGCCAGATTCAGGTTAGGACTGAGTCTGCTAAACTGATAATGCACAGGAGAGGTTGGGACGGTTGGGTGTGGGACTTGGGTGGGCCCATTTGCTCAGATGGGCCTGGGTTTGAACCCAGAACCAGCTTGCACAAGAGGCATTTAAACCTGGCTGAGCTGCAGCTTCTCCAGCTGTCAACTGCAGATGGCTGCCTCCTCGGCTTGTTGTAAGAATTAGAGACACACGCAGAGCGCATTTCTAGAGAGAGCTCTTAACAAATAGTGGCTACTGTTAACCGTCATGAGGACCTGGCCCTCAGGCCTGCTCCTTTGACATTGCTGCCCAATCTTAGAATTATTTAAAAATCTGGACAAGAGAAAAGTAAAATAAAGTCTCAGTTATTCATGTTGGATGGGATAAATCTCAGAAGAACCAGACTGCAGGGGAGGTAAGTGCAGAGACAGAGAGGGTGGGTCATACTCGTGGGCCTCATGTTCTCATCCTTGCAAACACTGCTGCGTCTGAACCCATGGGTCTTCCAAAAATAACATCATCTTAACATTTAAAGATGAAAACATTCTCTGCAGGTAAAAGGGAAGTGGTCATCCCACATAAGCCTGAATGGTTAGAGGGTTGGCCTGCTAAATTGCAGCCTCCCTCTTCAGAATGAAAGTGAGAGAGGTGAGCTGGCGGTAGGAAAACTGCCGCGTGCCGCACGATCTGTGGGTGGACGTGGCCGGGTAGGTCCTGTCTGTTTCTGTGAGGTTCTAGCAAGGAAACTCCCTGGGAGACAGACAAGCCTGCGGATGAGGAGCACCAGCCTAGAGCCGGACACTCCTGGGTTTGAAGCCCACAGCTGCCACCCC